AGGCCAGGTGTCCAGTGGGGCCTCCCGGGAGAGGAAGGGACACAGCCAGGATGGGACGGACTGGGACAAGGGTTGGCAGGGAGAGAAGCTGGGCGTCAGGGCTCCACCCCAACACCCTGGCGTGGCCGAGCTCCCTGGAGGGCTCAGGGACAGTGGCAAACCCCGAGAGAGGACTTCACTATGTGCCAATTCTGGAGAGCCATACTGCCACGGAACAACAGAGGGGGAGACCAAGGCCCAGAGTGGGAAAGTGACTAGCCCAGACATCCCACCGGGCCGCCTTATAGTGTTACACAGGCTGTGGACTGCACAAGCCCAGGACCATTACTAACAAAGGTCTCAGCATGACTGGCTTCCCTTGGAGTTGGGCAGTGCGCAGCCTGCCCGACTATGCATTACCCCTCCAGTGCATAACAGGCACTGAGACCCAGTTTTGGCCCTCTCTGAGGTCATTGCCTTTATTCCATCAGAAGAAGCCGCCACCTGTCACGCCGTGGTTAGCTGTGAACTGGGATGGAAGGGCCGTCAGCAGATGACCGCAAAGCCTGGGCCTATGCGTCCGTAATGCTGAACACAGCTTGCAGACCAGATGACGACGTCTTAGCGGTGCCTTCGAGGCCCAGGTTCTACCTGCGCCTGTCGCTCTCCCCTCTGGGCCCCCGGCTCCCTTCCCTCGTCCCTCCAGCCCAGGCCCGCACACCTCCTCTGGGGAGCCTGCCCCGACTTGGCAGGCTCAGTGACCACTCTCACCCCTCTGGGTCCCACAGCGCCTTGTAACACCTCCCTTCCTGAGGCATGTCCTTCTGTCCCCATGGCCTGGGCACCCCAATCCACAGCACTGAGCAGGGAGCAGTGAGACAATGAGTGAATGAGCAAGCGGTGGGGGGGGTGCATGGATGTTCTACAGGGACCGGGGCGCTGTCCCAGGGGACCCCCCACGGCCCCCAGCCCCCACCTGCAGGCCGCACTCACCCATCTGGGGTGGGCTCTGAAGCCCCAGGAGCCGCCTCCAGGGTCTAATTAGCCCCCAGAGCCAGGAACGGGGGCTTCCGATCCCACTGGGGCTCCCAGGGGCACCAGCACCGCTGTCCGTGGCCCTGGGGCCCCAGGCGCCTGTCCCTGGAATGCAGGCCTCCTCCCCCGTGGGTCCCTCCCCACGGCCTCCATCCACGGGCTCCGGGCCCGTGGTCCGGTGAACTCTTGTGACCGTTCTTCAAGGCAGGTGTCTCTGCCCATTTTACAGGCCAGGAGAACCCCCCCGCCAGGGCCCAGAGCCAGGTCCCTTGACGCTGACCCCAGGTACCTCCTCTGTCCCGGGCTGGTCCTCAGCCACTGCGCCTGGCTGTCCTGCCCAGGGGTGCCTGACCCGGCCAGTCCTCGCCTTGGGGCCAGCCTGGCTCCTCTAACGTGCCAACATCACGGAGGAGAGGCCCTCCCACCGGCCTGTCTGGACTTTTTCAAGGTGGGTATGCAGGCCAGTCGCCACGGAAGCCAAGGTGTGCTCGGCCCCCGGGCCTCCCCCGACAGGAAGCCCTCCCGGCCCTGACGGGTCCATCAGCGGCTCCTCTGGGCTCAGGCTTCCCAGCCGGGTCCTGGGAAGTCCCCTGGGCATGTGGCAGCCCTTCCACAGACATTGCCTTCCGGCACCTTCTCTTCCTCGACGACCTACCTCTCCTTCACCCTCACGGCTATGGCAGAAACACCCAGCCGTCGGCACTCAGTCTGCTGGCACTCAGGGCTGTTAGCCTTCACGCTGTGCCAAGCGCTTTGGACTCCTCGCCTGACTGCTCAGTGGCCCAGCGGGAAGGACACCACTGCCATCCCCACTTCACAGATGAGGGATCTGGGGCGCGGAGAGCTTAGGAGACCTGCAGGTGGTGTAGCTGGGACTCAGCCCTGAGAACCGAACAGGGTCGCAGTTCTGGCTCTGCCCGTCACGCGCTCCGGGGTGAAAGCATACAGTTGGGCAGGTTGGACACTGCACATCTCCAAGGGTTCACCTGCTCCCCCTCTGCCTCCAGACCTGGTGTTCGGTGTGGGGCACACATACATGCATCCTGGCCACACCTTTGCTGCACTGAGGACAAGGGACCTGCGACTTCATTCTCTTTCTTACCTGCTTATTTAACAACCTTATCAAAATCAGACAGAAAAGCCACTTCCCCAAGGCGCTGGAGGTCTGCCTCGCGTGCGGAACAGCACACGGAAAATCAGGGGAATCTGGGCGTGGGCAGAGCTGTCCCTCCCCAGCTGGGGTAGCTCGATGCCCCCGCTAAGCTTTTTCTTCTAACGGGCCATGAAAATAAGTCCTCAAGAATGTGTGTGTAAGGCTTTGACAGCCTGAAGCACAAGCCTGGCGTCTCCCCCTTGACCTTGGGGAACCTGGAGGCCTTCCTCCCTCAAAGCAAGGCCCGGGACAAGGCCTGAGACCCTCGGGCAGGACACAGCGCTCACTCCGCCAGGCGCCCGCCCACTTCCTTGTCTGGTTTGTGCAAACCCCAGGCCCCTGGGGAGGCCGCGCGAGTGTGGCTGGGCCCCGTCCCCCCCAGAGCTCCCGGTAGGCGGGTGAGCTGGCGGACGACTGAGGGGTGCCCGTCAGGTGCGTGGAGCCAGCGGGTGGAGCCTGGAACACCGTGGGTCCAGCTCACCCAGCACAGGGCTCGTCTGGCTGAGCCGCGCAGCTCCGGTCACCCTCACGTGGCTGCGTGTCTCCCCTGGTTCCCCGAGGACACGAACCCGGAGGCAAGGACGGGGCTTCGGATCTGGGCGGGGCCCACCGCTCCACCGGCCTCACGGGTCGCGGAGGGCCACCACAGGCCGGAGAGGGCCCGTGGCCCGTCCAGAAGCGAGGCCGTGCGCGCCCGACGAGGCAGACCCAGCGACACGGCCCCTGCGCACGGACGCGGTTGTTCGTCAGCCGGTCTCTTGGGACCCTGCCCCCGCCCCGGACACCGTCTACACCAGAGTGGCCCCAGCACCTGATCTGCACCTAACACCTTGCCTCTCCGGACCCGCTCCTCCAGCGGCCCTGACTCCAGGGCCCCCCGCCATCCTGTCACTCCCCCACCAACCCAACCCCGACGCCCATCAGGGACCCTCAGGCCCTCAGCTGTCGCCCTCGCTCCAGCCGCATCGGCCCTCCCCACCAGGGCACCGCCCCCCGCGCCCCCAAGCTGGGCCCCTGCACCCTTCTGCACACGTGTCACTCATAACCCTTGAGCTCCGCCCCTCCTGACGACGGGCCACCCTCCCAGCTCCTGCGCTCTCCGTGCCCACCTCTTCATGGCCGTTTACGTGCCACCTCCTCCAGGAAGCCCTTCCTAACCTACCCTTCCCCAATTCTGGAGGTGGTTTCCCCCTCACCTGGATTCCACACGTAGTCATCTGTCCCTCGCAAGACAGGATGGGGATTTCGTAGGCCATCTGCTAATGGTGGTGGGGCCCGGCAGGAAAGGGGAGGCCAGGCTGCAGCACAAGTCAGTGCTGGGTCTTGAAGGCAGTGAGAGCCATGGCTGGGCTTTTAGCAGGGAGGTCC